CTCTGTTATCCAATACTAAGGTACTAGTTCTTGCACCCCTGGATAAGGCAAGTTTTCATAATCTGGACATGAACATTGGACTTTTTTGACACCGCATTGTAAAGCCACTGGTCTAGGGTCTGAGGTGCTCTTTACTTTTGAGGTGCAGAGAGACGTTTCAAACCTATCTGCACTCATTGCCAGCTTACTGCTACCCACTATCACTACCCAGCTAACTCAGTATCCTTAGTGCAGGACAAGGTTATGTTTTCTACTGGCTAAAAGAATTGTCAGCTGCTATGGGAATGTAACGGTCTGGCCCTCTGCAGTGTTGATAATCCCCGTCTTTGCAATGCTTAGTATTGCATAGTAGAGAAGAGTACCTCCCATAAATTGGTGTCTCGGGCACAAAGAAACTGGGTGGGTCAGCTGTTCCCATATTGCTTGTCCTTCCGGGCTAAGTAGTTAAACAAGGTATAATGTGAGGGGTATTAGATTTAGTGGGGCAGAAGGTTGTTGTGGGCTGATGATGTAGCAAAGGTAAAGGTGGACAGAATGGGTAGAGGAGGTTAGACTAGTATGAAGGATAGAAATTCATGAAAGGGGTTGAGTGGGGGGATTAAGTGTCACCACTCAACATGTGGCAGCCACTGTGGGAGACCATATGTGTGATGTCTTTGTTGGAGTACCCAGCATGGCCTCACACATTAGAGTGTTACTTCTGTGATGTCTGTGGTCTGAAATAATCTAAAAATCAAAAACATAGTATGAACGTTCTTTGTGGAACATAGGAGTTAGTCTTACCATAGGAGTTTCAAGAAGCTACAAGATGCTCCTGGTTATTCAAGAAGCCAGCTTGACACTTTTAGAAGGTCCTTAATTGTTTTTTTGTTTTTTTTTAAGCATATACATTTTTTTTATTGAAAATGTTTCACTAATACAATACAAGGTTACAACTTGTTACATTCATAAAGTGTAGGTCATAAATGTGAACATAGTGGCATAAGTAACTTGTATAAAAGCCAGTTACGCAGGAATGTGTAATCACTTACAACTGCTAACTATGTGAAAGTATCTACATAACAGATTCTGGATGTATTAGGAGGGTGTGAAGTATTACAGAACTACAGAGTATCCATAACAGGAACAGAGAACAAAACCAAAACCAAGGGACAATCATAGTATGGTCTTAGAGCATGAATACTATCAGAATGTTCAATACCGAATATGATGTATATCTTGTGGGTCAGAAAGGACATGTGAGAAGGTGTCAAAGGTCTATAGTGTAGGAATTAAGGTTGAGCAGATCAGCGGTTCGAAGCACGGTTGGGTGTGGAGCCAGAGGCAAGAGCCCCTGCTAGGATGACAAATCTAGGATATGGGTCTCGTCATAGGACGTCCAGTGCTCCCAGGGAGCCGTCAACAGATAGATTCCTCTGAACAAGAAGCACGTAGTGTACCATAATTAGTTAATCAGTAATGATAAATTACTTCTGTTTATGTTCTTGAACTATGGAAAAAAGTAACATGCTGCTCCAGCACTGTCACCATCTGTTAACGGCTTGTGTATTGTACATCTCATGTTTTGTTCTTTCTTGTTTTTTATTCAGATATCGACATACATTAATGCAGCGAACGTCTGCTGATTGTTGATGCCATTTTTATTTTTTCTTAATATATGGAAACAAAGTTTTGCACTCAAACGCTGGAAAGTTATTCATAGAGTGGTTACTGTTCATATGATATACTTTTGATGTACTGCATGTTTGTGCAGCATGATAAAAAAAATCCCAGTTAACAGTATAGAGGCAGGGAGCAATGAGTGCCTATAAAACCTGTTATTGGAGCTTCTGGTGGACCTTAGCTGCTGCTGGCTCATTGCAGCATGTTAACTTAAATTCGAAAATGAATCCAGTTATGGTTTAGGTTTTGTTTTCTGGATTATTTTGATTGTATGCTTGGCCTTTATTATTGGAAAGTTACCCTTGCATAGTTTAGCCCAACACTAGCAAGTAGCAAATATTAATGGCTAGCAGTCTGCTATGTTATTGGAAGCAAAATAAAAGTCCCTTGAGGCAAATACAACCTTTAATGAAGCTGTGTATTCCTTAAAAAGATTTTTTTTTATTGTCCGAAGTAGCAGAATCTATCTCATCACCCTTCTGTTGTCCTTTGTACAGCAACACTCAGGCTGGGAAAGGGAAGGGAATCACTAGGAGCCAATCAAGCTCTGGTGCATGTACATGTGGTGAAAGAGAACATCATAGCAATGTGTTTCTGATTCTTCACTTTCAAACTTAGCAGGATGGAAGGTGGACAGTGACACCACAGTCTTCCGTAAAGTGTAATGGCCAAAACGTTTTCTTTTATTTTTTATAAAATAGAGAAGGGTGAAAACCTGCGTCAGTTCAGTCTTTTCTGCCTGTACCCCATTGGGTAAATTTCTCTTTACTTCTGTCTTGGAGAAACGATGGTGTGTCAAAATTTTTAACTTCCCATCACTTTTGTCTTGGAGAAAGTGGTGATCAGGAGAAACAGAGAAGAGTGAATCTCCCCAGTGGACACATAGATATCAATAAAAACTTGACAAAAATTCTGACCCTTCCACACTCTATACAAAATTTAAAAAAGGGTTTTGGCTTTACAAATACTAACTGTAACAGATTAAGGATTCAGGGTTTTTCACTGCTCATAGGGTTATTCCTAGACACCAAAATGATATCATTATTTCTGCTGTTTGAGTGAATCATAAGACTTATACCAAGAGAAGGCAATGGACACATTTACAGACTGACAGTGCGTCAAACCACTGTGGAAATCAACCCGATTCTCATTACCTAAATCTATATAAAGTTAAATGATGGCAAAGTTGTGTTCATGGCCTTCCCCACTCTGGTGAAATCCCTTTTTTATTAACCCTTTATTTCTAGCTGCTACTAAATTTCCTGTTCTTATTGATCAGTCACTGTGATATTACTCTTCCTGGCATTATAACGACACTGTTAAATATTTATCATGACCTTGATTTAGTACCTCTATAAAATGCTCAGTTGTTTTCTCTAAAATGCTTGAAGGTCATATATTTTTATTTCTTCAGGATATGTACATCTATTTAGGGTAGACTTGTAATGAAATTAAACTTTCTCCCCCATATTTCTAAACATTCTGGCACCTTACAATCATATTTGGTAAATAAAAAGCCCTGGAATACTTTTGCTGAAGACAATACTGCTCCAGGCTTCTATAGTGGCCCAGTGACTTTGCCTTGTATATAGTGAAATACAGAGGCCGGCATTACGGTCTTCTGAAAATACCAGTTGCCTGGTTGTCACTAGCTTTAATACTTTCTAAGACACTGAAATACAAGTATGCAGCTAGAGATACAAGAGCTGATTTTACAAGACCTCATCTGCTTTCTGTATCTGGGTCAGTGACCCAAAGTATTTAAGACAGTAGATGAGTTTGGCAATGGCAACCAATAACTTTCGGGATAGGCATTATTTAAATATGATACTAACCTTTAGTTGAGATGTGAACTATGTGTAGGCACTTGGTCAGGTGACAAGCCATCATGGCAGTATTTGCTAGAGAGAAGTAGGTATTACGGGGGGTTACCTTTTGTACTATGTAGTCCTGTAAGTGGGCATCATGGTAAGCATGGGGGCCCAGTCTGAAGGAGAATTCCAGTAAGGAAAACAGTCACCAGTAAACCTGTAATAACAGGTAATGTAAATTGATGGGGGATTCATTGTTGGATGGATCTGCACTGAATGAAATGGATTTTATGTTATAAGATGTCCACTAAACAGCAGGTTGTCAGAGACCGGTTTCATTTCCTGCTACAGGCTGAAAGCTCTTCAAAACCGGGCATTTAAGAAAAATATATAGAAGCAGAAAAACAGCTCATATTTATTGCTGACGTGTGCTTTGCCTGGAGTTCTTTAATGTTAATATAACCAACATGTGTTAATGTTTAAAAACAAATGCAACTGTTATAAGGGCACAGCCATGCTTGCCGTTTACAAATGCATGCTGTTATTCCTGTAAGGGAGCACAACACAAAGCTTGTATTTCACCCCCCACATAATATAGTTTAAGAACAACCTTAGTGATCACCGAGCATAAACCTTTCAGCCTTTACTTTGTCTGGAAAAGGTACATTCTCCATAAGGCTGTTCTTGCATTTGATTTTTCACAGTAGTCATTCAGCAAGACTGCTGCTCACACACTCATAAAGAAACCAATAGCAGGCAAAACTACAATGAAATATTAGGAATAATAATGGGAAAATCACTTTTGAGCAAATCACTTTGCAAGAACTGGTCCAATCTGTGATGACCAGGTGTTCTCCGTGGAGTGCCAATCTGAGTCTGTTCAAACAGATCCACTGTGTGAACTGGAAAAGGGGTCCAAAAGCTCCCCTTTACTAGTTCAATACCTTTATGGGAGAGCCAGTGGATACCCTGTCAAATCTTGCTTTTCTCTAGTTGGTGAATGAGAAGACCAATGGGCAATCACATATTACACATAGTGCAGGCATAGCCTTATGAGTGTACCGTGTCATTGTGATATAAATACTCTTATTTGAACTATATCCATTCCAACATTAATAGTCCAAATAAGGGCACTGGCATCATAACATTGCATAGCCATAAGGCTGTGCACCACTCCATTATTGTATAACAAGTGAATATCTACTGCCTGTTTTAGTGGCTGTCTTCCGATTTTGGACCCCTTACTACGGAAGGGCAGGGAATCCCCATCTGATTCTGAAGTAAACTGGTGAGAGGGGTTCAATGAACTCCTTTATCAGTTTACTTCTAGCTGGAGATTATTGATGAATAATTCCCCTACAAAATGGAATCCAGGGGCATACTTGTCAGAATCTCAAATCCTCATGGGTTTGCTTATTCCTAACCATCATAATATGATACAGTAACCATCTAAAATTGAGTATGCCTAATAAATCTTAAATGCTTTACAGAATAATATTGTTTACATATTTTTCTTTTCTCTTTTAGAACCATACAATGAGCCAGCATAGCAGCTAATGAAAAAAAACACATCCATTTGAAGATCTTCTGGAAGCACAGAAAAGGGAACATGTTTTAATCTTTGCACGAAACTTTGATTGTTCATGTATATTAATCGAAAAAAAAAAAAGCATTGTATTTTACCATAAAACTTGTATTATTGGAGCTGTTGGGTGTTCATGTGTTTGGACTTTTCAGCACCAGATAAACTTATTGTACATACAGTGTTGCACATGTATTATGTTGTTCAATACGAAATCAGTCTTATAAAGACAGCTGACTTGGGCCCTATTCAAAGAAAAGAGGTTGAAAATCTGCAAGGAAAGAGGATGACGTCAAAGTACTCTTTTGCAGACAGAGTAAGAAAAATGGTTGCTGTATTCCAACTTCCTTTCCAGCAAATCTTGATCTTTAATCCTCATTTTAATATAAAACAGCTGAATTGAATTTTTTTATATACTGCAGAAGAAGATTCTTGCACAGAAAATGTTTTCTCGTCGAGAGGAAAAAAACAATATCTTGAATAAGGCCTATATATAAATATATACATACATGCATATATATATTTGTAAGCCTTGCGGTATGGCAAATAGCATTACCATATATGCAATAGTCATTATGTAGATTGTCAAATAATTTTTTCTCCAGAAGACCATTTTGATGCTTTGTGTGTCGAAACTTTTTTCTTCTCTTTCTTAACAATGGTTTCGCCCTGCCAAAAATTCTTGAATCCGTTAAACTAACTTGTATGTTACCGTTCTCAATGTTTACTCTGCAGTCTGAACCTGGAGATTACTGGAATTGTTTACCAAAAGAAAATAAATTCAGTTTATCATTAAGTGCAATTGTTTCACTTTTGTTGCCTTCACTTAAACATATCCACATATAGTGTGTGGAAGGCTGGTAGAGTTTTTGCTGCTATTGCTTCAGCCTGACCCTGCCATCACTAAAAATGGCACAATGTTAGCCTATCACACATGCACACCATATTACCAATGATGCCAAAGAAAATATTTCACCTTGCTATATCATTCCATTGTCAAAGAAAGAGATTCTGTTCCAATAATGACTGGAGCTCCTGGATATCACTTAAATGCATACCAGCATACTGTAGATGTTAATTCTGTATGACACTGAAATTTTGGTTCAATTTTCTAGGCTCCTCTATCCCAAATGAAAGTATCAGAAAAGTAGAGGGGAAAGGTATTTGGAGGGGCAATTGTGATGTGATTTTGGAGTATGTGTATTAATGTACTGGAGCAGAGGGAGGGTAGAGGGGGGTAAAAAAATATGAAAGTGCACTGCCCTTAAAAATAAAAAGATATATTCATAACAAATGTATATAAATCCCTAAAGCCTCCAAAGAGTCAATAGAATGCAATATATAATATAGCAACCCCCTGTGTATATAAAAGTACCACACAATACAAATCATCCGTATTACAAAGTACATATATTAAAATCTATATTATATCTGCATAAAAAATATACAATGATTTAAAAAAATATAATAATAATAAAATGCACTCTGCTGTTATATCAAAGCCCCAATCACAATGGATGTGCCAAAACAGTGTGCTCAAATTTTAACAAGTTTATGGTGAGCGTCTCTCAGTTTCCCCTTCATGTGTGCTGTAACAACTTCCTCACACCGCACTCAACAGAAAGGTTGGACCATCAGTGCTGAATTGTCCAATAAAGCTTAGTGATAGTAGTATTATCCCTCAGTGGTCTGGGTTCTCTTTTCCTCAAGTACCTATCCCTCGTACTCCAAATACCGCCTTCAGCTCCGACAGTTCAGATGTTAACCAGTTTTTACTGCTCATATCGGCTCACAAAGAGGGATAGCTCTCCACCTCCAGAAAAAAACACGGGGCTCAATAGGATATGCTGCATCTGAAGAAATGCAACACAACACAAAGCAGTTCAAACTGCCTTAGCTGTCATCTACTGTACACTTCCCAATTGCAGTCAATGGGAATCTGCTAATCTGCTTTTGATGTTTTTTTAAACATACATCAAACTCAGGACGAAAACTCTTATGTACATGAGCTCTAAATATGTTTTCTTTGTGATCTTCTTACAAGCCTAATACGTATTACGGTTAGGGGTTCTTAGATGTTAAGTGTAACAAATAACTAAGAACTTCAGTGCACAAAGGCCTCCAATGAGACATACAGTTTTCCAAATCTTTGGTAGTTAATTTTTGGTAACCTATTTCAAATTACCTGCAACTGGCGGAAAATTCTGCATTAGAAAAAAGAGAAGCTGTGTGCACAGATACCAACCTTGTACTTTGAACATCCAGTAAAACACAGGATTGGTATGATGTATCTATTGTAGAGACAGTACTTTGGTCTATAGATTGGAAACTATGCCAAGATGAAAAGCTCATGCTAAATCCATATTTCCTTGAAATATAATGGTGCATTAATGTTATGTGAAACTGAGCTCATGATATTTCCACCCACCCGTGCACCTTCCCCCAGCTTTTCCCTTGAGATTGATCACGCAACTATCCAACCTTGACTCAGACCTCACCTTTCTTCCCCACATCCAATCACTATCCAAATCCTGCCGCCTTCACCTTCGTAACATCTCCAAAATACGCCCCTTCCTCACCAATGAAACCGCTAAATTACTCATTCACTCACTTGCTATATCTCCTCTTGACTATTGAAACTCTACACAGGCCTAACTCTACACAGGCTATCCACCCTTCAGTCTATCGTGAATGCTGCTGCTAGACTCATCCACTTAAACAACTGCTCAGTGCCTGCACCCCCCCCCTGCCGATCCCTGCACTGGCTTCCAATAGCCCAAAGGATAAAATTCAAAATATTAACAATGACTTACAAAGCCGTTCACAATTCTGCCCCCGGCTATATCTTAAATCTGGTCTCTAAGTATCACCCTAAGCGTCCCCTCCACTCCTCAAAAGACCTTCTGCTTTCCAGCTCCCTCATCAACTCCTCCTATGCTCGCCTCCAGGACTTCACTGGAGTCTCTCCCATCCTCTGGAACTCTTTACCCCAACCTGTCCGTCTGTCTCCCACTCTGACTGCCTTTAGGTGATCTCTTAAGACTCATCTCTTCAGGGAAGCCTATCCCACCTCAACCTAACCACTGAACCATCACGTTCTCAAACAATTCATCCCCCCACAGCTACCTCCTCATGCATCACTTCTCCCTCCCTTTTAGATTGTAAACCCTTAGGGGCAGGGCCCTCCTTACCGTCTTGAATTGTATTGTGATAGTAATGTCTTCCTTATATTATAAAGCGCTGCGCAAACTGTTGGCGCAATATAAATCCTGTATAATTATAATGTGCAATATATTGAAAATGTACCTAGTGTAAAATCTAAACAGAACAACCATTTTTTTCTCATTTAACAACCATTAGCCATTCAGTTCACACATCTGCTGCCAATTGCAAATGGAATAAGACCTAGATATACAGTATATTATAATATATACTAGAAGTAATATACAGTATATTAAAATGGAATTCAATAGTATTTGACTGTCTTTGGCCCCATGACAACACTTGCCTGAAGATTCTCTTTATTCATTCTCTTTAGCCTCTGTAGTTGCTCTTCAGCTAATTGGATGGCATTCCTAATTTCTACTGGATAAGGCTGTTCGTGCCATAAAATATGTTCACTGCAAAACATTAAAAAAGAAAAAACAAAAGTATCTTAGTCTTCAGCTTTTTAAACTCTTGTCCCTGATTTTACATGTGATTTAGCCATCGATGACCAGGTAAATCTGTTACTGCTTTTTATAACCAGGAGTGTGTCAGTGTTTTATAATTCAGGGACTTCTGAATATTTTTTCCCCACATGTTCTGGTATCAGTATGTTGGCATTCAGTCACCGTAGATGTGTTGTAGGTGTAAGGCATATACGCCAAATAATAATTCAGCCCATGCCCCCCACTCCCAGGACTCGCCTATCCTTTCCCTTCCACTAACCTTAACACTTTACCTACCCTATAACACCTAACCCTAATAAATGTATTATTCCTAATTTACCTAATGCTAACAGAGAACCATTAAAGGGAGCTTCTACATAGAAACGTTGAGGTTGTAATTACTAACCTTACTATCTGAAATGCTAGTTGCCTGGTTTCTATTGCTGATCCATTGTCTTTATTACTTTCCTACTGAGCTATGACAGATCAGAAGTTCTGACTTGACTGTGCCTTTGACTGCTGCATTCTTGTTGTACATCAGTAAATTGTAATTAATTAAAGCCAGGAACAGCCGGGCAATTAGCATTTTTAGAGCGTATTTCTTTCAGTACAGGGTTCCCTTAAATAGAATCTAAAAAGTAACAGTAACAATAACCTAAAGTATCCTGTATGGCATTCCAAACAAGTACCAAATCCAGTTACTGTGTGATGCACAAACCTTAGAAAGCAATCAATAAGCTTTCTTTACTTTCCCTGCCTGAGACATTCGTGTCTCACTTGTCCCCCTCCCAAACATTGCAGCTTCACAATGTGAGGGTTTCAACAACAGAGGCAGTGTTGCAAATCCAGAAATCAGTGGGCTGGACTAGGTGTGGCCGAGTGCTCGTTGACAAACAAAACGCTTGTAAATCAGCAGTACAAATATTGGTACACACCCCTGCAACATTTGTTCATCCCAATGTAGTGCAAGCAGGCATGAAAGTGGTAACTCTGCTCTGAAATCTGGAGCAGTGCAGCATTGTTGCCACACCATTACAGATGGTGCATTAGGTGGACTTCCCTGACTGGTCCAACAGTTGTGTGGGACTTTGCTGAGGGAGTAAGAGAAGGTGGCTCGTGTGTGGCACTGTCTCTGCACCTCACACTGTTTAGATTTTTCTTTTTTATGTTTTTAATGTAGGCATTCTTTATTTGAAGTTACAAAATCTACACTACATTCAGGTCTCCACACAGCAGCATGGTGTGCTGCACTGTGGTGCGGTGACCTGCAATGTGACAGTGTGCACTGTAAAAGAAAAATGCTGGATGTCTGCCTTTATATGCAGTGCACTGTGCCATACATCACAACCCTATTGTGGTGTAAAGGGACACATAGGAAATTAGTTTCTATGTGCCCTAGGGGTGACTTACTTAAAAACTCCAGTCACT